ACAAAAAAAAAAAAAAAAAAAAAAAATCTACAACCTTCCAGATGTCAACCTGGCCCTCAAAGAAGTGGATTTAAAAGTGATGCCGCTTAGTACAATTGTGTGACTCTGAAGATGAGGAAATAAGACCAATACAACAGATATGAAAGCCCAGAACTAAGCCCAAACAGATAGGAAGACTCCATGACTGTGCTGGCATTGCAGGCCTAGGATGTGGGTGAATTATGCAGACAACGTTATTAAACTGATGACCACATCTTTTGAGGGATGGCAAAAGTAGTTTAACACACTAAACACAGATTCAAAATGACTCCATGATTTCGATTTAAAAAATAAACTGTAAAGACGATAAAATAAAAATATAACTTTCTTTTCAAGCATGCAGAATGAATGCCTTTATAAATATGACACAAAACACAACGTGCATTTGCTCCTATTAAAATAGAAGTATTCTCTTGGCCAAAGTGAAACAAAATAATGTCAGGAAATAAACCCGCATACTTCTAAAGAGGAGTCCTTAACTCAAAATATCAATTTAAAAGTGAAATACTTTTTAAGAAGGCCACACATAAACCACACCGTGGGCAGGGAATAAGAGGAATGGATCTTAGGAACATGCAAAGACACCCAAACTCATTAGGATAAGAAAAAGACAAGCAAGACCAAAATACACTGTTTTTCAGATATGTTGATGAAGTCTGAGGCAAGCGTCATAACGTGAAGTGTGTAACATTTGTAGAAATAGTCACTATATTTGAAAACAGAGATAGAAGCTAATCGCGCCTCACCTTGATGGGCAGTGGCCAGTGTCACGGTGGCCACAGTCACACCCCCAGAGCTTCTCTCGGAAACAGCTCAGCATCCTGCAGACACTGTCCTCAGAAATATGGCTCTACTGGTACAAGACTGATGATTCTATAAACACCCGCAAGGGCGGCGTCTGCGTCTGGGTCAATGCTCCGTAAAACATGACAGCCACCAAGAAACCTGAGACTTCTCTCCCTGCTGATTCCAACGGGTCACCCAGAACTGTAAAGTAAGAAAGCAAGCTGCTTAGCAATGTGATTTACGCACTCTTTTTGTGGAGGGGATGAAATAAAGAACAGAAACATTGGTATATTTTCAAGCTGGACACAAGGCTTCTCCTAGAAGGAATACAATGGCTCCTGGCCGTGTTTATGTCCAAGGAGGACAAACTAGAGACTGGGAGTCGATGGATGGAGACAGATGTTGGTTTTACTCCGTGAGTTTTTCTACTTCTGAGTGACACTCTTTCAATGGATTGTTATGAAAAACAGAAGGAAGGGAAGGAGGGAGAAGAAGAAGGAAGGGGGAAAGGAGAGAAACCCAGAGGAGGTAAGGGCGGATAAAAGTGTGAAATTGTAAGAGGCTCTCAAAAACTCAAGCAATGCTCTCTAACAGTAGTAAAAATAGATAAATTGTGTCCCTCCGGAAAACTTCATTTCTTTTTCAGCAGAGAATAGCAGATGAGCTCTGTTTACCCACCTCGTCTCGGCCTCTGGAGCCTCGACTCCCAGGGGAGGGAGCGCGGATGGGAGGCCCCGGCTATAGACTCCCTGATGGAAAGGGGCCGCTCAGACAGACCCGGGCGGCTATCAGCCCAACAAGGGCCTGCAGAAGGAACGCGGGGTGAGTACAAAGAGCAAAGCCCCTGCTAACAGCAGCTGTGTCTGGGGAGGCTGGGCGGACGGCCAGAGACGGAGGGTGAGAGACAGCATCCAGTGTGTTTCCTGCAGCCAGGACTCAGCCCCTCACCTCAGGGCACCAAGCGGGGACGAGTGAGAGCTGGGGCGAGCCTGGGGAGGAACGCGAAGAACAAGTAGGTGAATAAGGAGAAAAGAGCTGAGGGAACCAGCCGACTCTGCAGCGTGGATCAGTGTGAGTTCGCCTTCGGTCAGGACCCACCCGGAAGCACTCGTTCAGGGCCTTCTTCTGCACCCGGAACTTAAAATAAGTCCCCTTGCTTGGCCTACCCATCGCTTCAAAGCAAGCTTTATTTTTTGTCCTCTGTATTTTGATCCCCACTCTTTATTTGAGGTCCCATAGATTCGCAGAAGTCACAAAGGTAGTACAGAGTCCCTGTGGACCTTCCACCCAGGTTTCCCAGAACAATCACACCCAACACAGTGACACTGATGCCAGAACCGGATGTTGACATTGGCACTGTGTGTGTGTGTGTGTGTGTGTGTGTGTGTGTGTGTGTGTGTGGCTCCGGGTCTCTTTCCCACTCGTGTTCCCTCCCATAACCACATTGGCAATCAGGATGCTGTATGCTGACAAAGGACAGATCCTGAGTTTTTCCACAAGACTCCTTACAGACATAAAAACCCCCTCCACCCACTGCTTTTCACCCGAAAATCATAATCTGTCCTCTATCTGTTCAGCTTTGCCAGTTTGATAATATTGTACAGATGGTCGTTCAATATGTGAACTCTGGAAATTAGTCTTTTGCCTCAACCCAATGCCACTGAGACCCACCCAGCGGTTGCATTCAATCCGCAGTTGAATCCTCTTTATTTCTAAGCAGAAGTTCACGTGTAGATGCACGGCGATTTGTTAAACCAACAAATGGACACAGAGCATTGGTTTGTGTTCAGTTAGGGTTATCAAAATAGAAGCTGACAGGAACATCTGCTTACACATTTTGGTGTGGGCATAAACCTAGTGCAAATAGAATTGTCTAGAAATCAAAGACTGGGCTATATAGTGCAGTCTTAGATTTTTAGGAAACTAAGCTATTTTCCTGCATGATTGCACCAATTTGTTATTCAGAAATTAAGTCTTTCTTTTGCCCCTGGAAGGGGAGTTTACTCCTCTGGTTCTGTTCTTGGTCTCCAGTTGGAGTTTGTTGTGTGCAGGAGACACACACTGTTATCATTTTGAATGTTTTAAGCTGATAAAGAATGTTTATGTTATAGGAGGTGCACTACATACTCTGCTCTTGTCCTACAAATAACACATTATTTTGACTGATTTTCTGTCTACTTGTTCTATCAATCTCTAAGAGATGACTGCTGGATTCTTCTCCAATTATAATTTATCCGTCACTTTTATCAATTTCTCCTTCATATTTGTATAGCTCTCCAGTTTCGTGCTCACATATTTAGGATTGCTATTTCTTCTTGGGAGACTAATCTCTCTCTCTCTCTCCCTCTCTCCCCCCCTTCTCTCTCGCTCCCTGGTAATTTTCTTTGCTGTGCAATCCACTTCATCTAATATTAAGTAGCTATCTTTCTATCTTTTGATCGGGATTTGCATGGTACATCTACCTCTTCCTTTTCTTTTAACTTGCCAATATTACTATATTTGATGTAATTTTCTTCCACACAATATAAAAATAACATAACGTTCTTTATCTACTCTGAAAATTCTTTGTCTTAACTCAAACTAAGGAATCGTAGGATGTCAGGAAAGATGAAACAGCCTGGAAACTGCAAAACAATGTAGGTAAACGCAACACACTTCCTTTTCCCTTGAGTTTGCTAAATTATGTTTAACTGCTGTAGAATAACTTTTAATAGTCCTTGTATAATTCTTAATGTGCATAGAGGAAATATTTATGATAATCATTTTAAATGGGAGAAAGGAAGCGATTTAAAAAACAAGGTTTCTATATAACCTCAGTAGGTAAAATGCAGCAGTTACATACTTACAACACATAAATCAACCACAAAAAAAATGCTAGAAAAAGATATAAACCAGATAATACAGACAAATGAAAATGGATTCCAAAAATGTTCACATGACTCACAGAAAGTGAGACAGGGAAGCAAAGAAACAATACACAGAAAAATAAACATGAAAACAAAAAATAAAATTGTGTGTTCGAGCCTTAGCTCATCATCACAATATAGCAGGTGCATGGTCTTCATTCTCAAACCCTAAGAGTCATGAATGCCAAGGACAAAACTGCAAGTCAAAGAGCACAGCTTGTTGAGTCTCACCCAAGCCACCCCGTGGATAATTACGGTGAGCAATGGGGCCTGGATCGCACCTCAGCTTTCTCTGTGAGGAGGCAGAGAGCGAAAGTGAGACCGAGTGAGAGCCCGGCGGTGGAAAGGGCCTCGCTCCAAACGTGAATTTGTAATTTGCTTTCACGTCGGGCAGTGCCACGTGGCAGCCCCCTGTATCGGTCTACATTATCTCTCCGTGGGGGTAGACGGGGGAAGACGGGGTTACCAGGAACCGAGCTCAGGGCCTCACGCTTGCCTGGCAGGCGTCCACGGCTGAGCTGCGTGCCCAGCGGCATTTGTCTCCGATTTTGGTCTGTGCGTTATCTACAATACTGACCTACTGTGAATTCTTCAATCACACTCCCAACTCATTTCTAACATAATTGCAGTGCTAGTAATGAACTTCTCATCAGTCTCTGTGACACCTGTTTTTGTAGAGGAAGAGGGGACGCAGAAGGGTCGGATCTGTTTCTTCTGTGAACTGGCAGAGAGTGAACTGAAGCACGAGGCCACAGGTCTCCATTCACTACCCGAGAGGAATAAAATGAAGGTTCAGCAGATCCTTATTATAAGAGGAAGGAATAACGGGGGAGGAGGGAGCTGTAAGGGAGGCACTCAGAGATGTGATCCCGATGTGTTACACGCATGTAGCAAAATACCAGGTTGACACCCAGCTTCACAGCATTAACGGGCACCAATAACGACTTACGCAAGAAGAAGCGAAGCTCCAGAGGCACCTTCCAGGCCGGGGTTGAGCATCTTTAGTATATTATGTCAGTGGGCCCTTTTCTCTGCGTCCCTCATTGGGAGACAGCTCCATCATCCTTGAAACAAAGTCTCCCGCAGTGACCCCGCCTGCTCTCGGTGTGTCTGTGAGGTGGGTCGGGAGCTGCTCCTCCGCCCTTGGAAGGTATCTCCAAGGTACTACACTGCTTTATCTGAATCCAGAATGGTGAAAGTGAGTGACACTGTAAACGTCATGGATTCTGGTGTACATGGACCCTGAACCCCTCCAGCCTCCTCTGCTGAGTGCTTTTCCCCACTCAGCGGAAGCCTCTTTTACTGCGCTCTGTTTTCCAAAATAAGTGACCCTGTCAGATATTACTTCTTCAAAGCGCCCCTAAATATTGAGGGCAACAGGGTCACTTAGAAGTTTCCCCACAGTGTGTATTTCTGAAGGAATTTCAAACAATCAGACAGGCTGGTAACAACAACTGGCTCCGTTCACTGCTTTCTATTTCATTTTGGTTTTGTTTTGTTTTGTTGCTGGGGATCGAACTCGGGTCCCTTCCCTTTGGAGGCTGCCGAGGAACCACTGGGCCACATCCCTGGCTGTTCCCTGCTAGGGCACGTTCTTCCGGACGTCCTCCCTGTGACGGTGCGCTCTTCTCAGATTCCCTGGTGTGAGGACAAAGGACTCGCTGGTGTGTTCAGAGGTCTCTGGTCCTCCGTAAGCAACCTCTTTCATTTCCATGGTGTTTACACATGTACAGCATGGAAATTCCATAGCAATAACTGCCACGAGTTTACACATAGCATCCCAAGTTAATCCAATTAGCAAATTTAAATATACATACATATATACATATATTCTTCACTAATTATATCCATGAAAGTAACAATTAGAGCTAGAGAGGTAGAGCGAGATGGGGCTACAGATAAGATACAGACAAAGGTAGGATTTTGTTGGGAAGATGGTCTCTGTCCCTTGAAATCTCTGCTTCCAGGAAGTGGCCTTCTTTCTCTCTCAGATAAATGCAAGCTTTTTCCGTATGTTCATACTGATAAGCCAAGGGAGCACCGATAGCTTAGGCAAATTGGTGGCTAACCCAAGTGATGTATTGCAGGCTCTTCTTAGGAGGTTCTCCACCCATCTTCACCCTTCCAATAGTCCCTCTGTGCTCTCGAAGTGCTCCTGCTCATGCCATTCCTTGGCTTTACGGACGCTGCAATATTAATATGGTCGATTCTAAGTTTCCCCGATCACTGAGTCTGTACTTAAGTCATTGTGGGTGTGATAAATCACTAATCATCAACCATCATTCTAGGAAGAAACTTGTAATGTTGTCATGTTTTCACTTATTTAAGCCTTTTAATGAAAAATATCTATACCATGGTATGATGAAAATAACAGTCGCTTAAAATAAGATTAAACTTTATATGGGTAAAAGTCTCTAACTCTTGATCAAGTATAACAATAGAAATTCTCGATCACATAAAATTCAGGGAGGAGGGGCACTGCTGGCCAGAGGATCACTGTGGGTGGAATATGTCTCCCAAATTCATCTGGTGTCAATATCATCCCCAAGGCAGCAACACTGGGAGAAAGAGATCTAAATAGAGGTGAATAGGACAGGAGGCTCTGTTTTAGTGGCTGAACTGAGGTTGTTAGTGTGACAAGTCATTCATCTCAATTCTGTGTCTGTCATGAAAGCAAATAGGACCCTTCTGTCCCTCACCTTTTCTGGCCTTCCTCCTCCAGCCCCACCTACAGTCAGCAGGTATAGCCACTGTATTGGGAATGACTTGTTTTCTGCCATCTATGCTGCCATAGCCATGCAGAGAAACACAAGAAAAGGATACTGCCCACAAAATCATTCAGGAACTCAGCTTGAAAGATAGGGTCATAAGCAACAGAGAAGTGTGACCATGCCTCAAAGATGAAAGCAGGATGCCCAGCTAAGTTTCATTTGCAGATAAACATAAACAATTTTTTATTTTAGTACGTCCCATGGAAATTATAGGCCATGTTTCTACTAAAAACTATACTGTGGGTCTGAAATTCAGATTTTTAACTTTTTGTCCTGCCTTATACCTGGCAACCAAAACACACAACTGTCAAAGTCTTCCTGAAGTCAACATTCAATTAACAGATGGGCAAGAAAGGGAATACAAAGGTATACGGTTCCGGTTGGCATGGAAAGGGGAGCTAGGAGCTGGCTCAGGTCTCAGGGAATCTGGAGTTACTTTAGTCCATAGCTCAGTGGGCAGAACACAATGCCACAGCCACACACAAACGCCTTTAATTGGAAGTGTGTCTCATTCTGTTCCCAGAAGAAAAGACACACACATTGGTGGGCAGTGAGCCACATTCTATGAGAACAAGAGTCTGTGATACTCCCCAAGGAGCAGTGAGTGCTTGGAGAGTTTGAGGGTTTATGAAAAAAACTGTGCAAGAACTCATCAGCTGTATAGCTAACCAGATCTGGGGTAACCCTGACTCAGACAAAACCCAAAGATATTTGTGATTCATATGAGCTGTTGTTATGTGTGAAGAGCATGCACACATCAAAACATTAAAACACGGTTTTGCTGAAGCTATGTAACAACTTAAAGGCAAAGCCAAGCCGTGGGAAATACAAGCAAATCTCTTCCTCGTACATTTATATGCAACAAGGAGAGTATCTCATATGTGAAATGAGGTCCTCCAATGGGAGTTAAGAAAACCTGCTAGTAAAAGACTCTGAGAAGTCACCAACTGTGTGGGCCATGAATATTATCCAGAAAATTCTTTGAGATCCAACTAATTTAACTGCTTGCAAGATCTTGAACCCACATCAAATGATTGAAAAAGTAAATGGCTAAAAATACTATACATTTCTGGAAAGATACAGAATCATATCTGAATATTATCTTATGCAACTATAGATCTGTGCACGCTATAATGGAGAAGTGCATTACACTTCTGATATGCTACTTATACTGTGGTTTATTAAAACAGTGTAGAAAAAGGTATTTGGAAGGCAGTAAGCCCACCAGTGAGTCTTTCTCAGGAACACCAAAATCAAAACACAGACAGGAAATGTAAGAATCATTTAACATCAGGAAATCAAAGAGAAAAATGTCTTTTCTTTCCTCAGTCCTCCCACACTTTGTAGCCATGAAATATGGAAATGGGTCTGAAGTGACTGAATTCTATCTTCTGGGATTTCGTGGGCAGCAAGAGTCCCAGGCTGTCCTCTTCGCTGTATTTCTTACTATCTATGTGATAACCATGGAGGGTAATACAGGGATGATCCTGCTCATCAGCACAGATCCCAGACTGCAAACACCCATGTACTTCTTCTTACAACATCTGGCTTTCGTTGACATCTGCTACACATCTGCCATCACTCCGAAGATGCTCCAGAACTTCATGGTGGAAAACAAATCCATATCATTTGGGGGATGCCTGCTGCAATTACTGGTGTACGCAACATTTGCGACCAGTGACTGCTACCTCCTGGCAGCAATGGCCGTGGACCGTTACGTAGCCATCTGTAAGCCTCTTCACTACCCCGTAATCATGTCCCAGACTGCGTGCATACTGTTGGTAGCTGGCTCATACCTCATGGGATCAATAAACGCCTCTGTACACACAGGTTTTACATTTTCCTTGTACTTCTGCAAGTCCACCATCAACCACTTTTTCTGTGATATTCCCCCAGTTGTCAGCCTTTCATGCTCCAACACTGACATCAACTTCATGCTAATTTTGATCTTTGTAGGGTTCAACTTGACTTTCACTGTGTTGGTCGTGATCTTCTCCTACATCTACATCACGGCCGCCATCTTAAAGATGTCTTCCACTGCGGGGAGGAAGAAGACCTTCTCCACCTGTGCCTCCCACCTGACGGCCGTCACCATTTTCTATGGAACCCTCTCCTACATGTACTTACAGCCTCCTTCTGAGCATTCCCGGGAGAACATGAAAGTGGCCTCCCTATTCTATGGCATTATCATTCCCATGTTGAACCCTCTGATCTATAGCTTGAGAAACAAGGAGGTCAAAGAAGCTATAAAAATGATAGTAAAAAAGTTATTTAGATTGGATCCAAATTGTTAACATTCAGCATATTGCATATCTCTAATAGCTGTGCTGCCACAGTTGAGTAATTCTAAAATAGAAAGCACTCAGCTCTAAATTTAGGATTTCCCCTATCAAAATATAACATCTCATGGTGTGAGAAATATTTAGAAAGCTCTCCTGAGACTCATTTTTCCTTGGAATATCATTTGAGAACATGCCTTATATACTTCATCGAAAATCCTTTATGCAGATTATTTTAAATATCAAGGTATGTATATAATGCTTACAAAACATCACTTCAAATGTTTCTCAAGTATGTTTCAATGGGTAACAAAATAGTACTTGTATATTACTGATAAAAATTGAACTTTATTATTTCCCAATATTTAAACAAGTTTCTTCATTGTCTAATGGGAACACCTTTATAAATGCAGTTCAAATTCTTGCACCATGCTGATTGTTAAATAAAAGTATTACTTTACAAGTCGTCTCATGACTCAAGCTAACCCCTTAACTCATTGACTCGCTATTCCCATATGTGTAATAATTTGCAGCACTTGAAATCATATCTCATATATCAGTTAATCTCTTTATTCCCATGTCGTCATTTTCTTGCCTGGGGTGGGAGTCACTAAAACTTTCCTGTCTCTAACACAGATGAGCTAGAAATAGATCGGTCTGAAAACCTTGTCAATAGACATTCATTTGCAAAAGGCAAACTGACGCTTACATTAAGACAAATAATGTTAGACTACAGAAGCCCTCAGGAATTCAAAGGGAGGGTAAGAGCCCTGACATGGTGCTTTGCATCACCATGGTGCCAGGCACTGAAGGGAGGTATTCATGGCCATTTTCATGACCCACTATCCAGTGGCAGATGTCTGCTTAGAGTAAATTATCAGCTGACTCCATGATAAGAATATGAGCTATCCTGCCAGAGAGATGATAGATAGATAGATGATAGATAGATAGATAGATAGATAGATAGATAGATAGATAGATAGATGATAGAGGGAGGGATACCCCCAAGTTGAATCTCTGTGGAAAAAAGAGACTGAACAAAGTAGACACACAGAAAACACAAATGCGGCACTAACTGAGATGTCCAGTAGCTGCAGTCCAGCACAGCAAGCTCTTCCGCTCTCCTGACAGCCTACACTATGCAAAGGCTGCTGGCTCTTTATAAACCAGACTACAAAGGCTCCAACCCTCAGTCAAAATTTGAGGTCAGTCATGAGCAGAGATGGCTGCTTTTATTTTAAAAGTTGTCCAGACCGTGAGAGCAGAAACACCCAGGACTTCAACACAGGCATCGCAAACACTAAGTCCACACTGCTCTGCCTCGGAGCCCCCCAAGCATCCCCTGCCCTCACAAAACACGCATCTCATCCCAACAATTCCAAAGTTTAGTTTATTCCACCTTCTACTGTGAGGTCTAAAGTTCCCATGGCTAAGTATCATGTAGACAAGATACAAAATGAGATTCGTGTTATGGTTTGTTCTCGGTAAAATTCTTCTCAGCCGGAATCTGTGAAACCAGGCTAGTTACGTACTTCCAGCACACAGTGGAGGACAGGCGAGAGACAGATATCCTCAATCCAAGTAGGAGCAACAGAAATAAAGCATTGATGAGTTCCTAGAATGTGAAATTGCTAAGACTGTCAGGCCCCAGAATAAAGCACTTTCTCCATATCTCTTTTCTTCCTCTGCCTTGAGATGAGTCCCTTTTCAAAGTCTTTTTGAAAAACTGTAGATTTTTTTGCATATATACCTTAAGATTCCTCCACCCTCTCTCTACCCATCTCATGGGCCCATGGAAGCTTTCATATGTTTAGCTATTTGGAACATCAGCACTTTGCTTTCAGTAAAAAGTTCTCTCTCAGTAAGATTCGCTGCTGTTTCTCATTGTTCTGGGGGCTGGAGGTCTGAGATCTCGGTAGCAGAGCGCTCAGATCTGCTGAGAGTTTGCTGCTGGATGCAGATGGAGAACTTCTCATTCCATCTTCGCACAGCACACAACAAAGAGGGAAAGCAGAAAGCACAATCCCTGCCCCTGAGGGTTTCACCTTTGCAGCCTCTTCCAGTCACACAAATCTCCCAAAGGTACCTGATCTTCGAATAGCAGCACACTGGGAGGCAGGATTTGCACACGTGACTTGAGGAGGAAGGAGGTACCTAGGCCTCAGACCACAACTCTGGAGTTCTAGGAGATTTCAACTCTGACAGTGATTGTGGAGAACCTCAAGTTAGCAGCCGGGTGGTCAATGGAAAGGGTGGCGCATGTGTCTTCTGGACTTTTGGGCGGTGTCTAGAGTAGCCTCAGGTTACACAGTCAGTTTAAACCACAGACACCGGAAGTCCGCTCCTGATGATACTATGATGGCTTAGGCAGAATGTCCCTCGGGCTCTCCCTCTGCTGCAGCAGAGGTTAAGACGCTTACTCCACTCCCTTCTCCCATGGGTTGCAAGTTTGCCAACGCTGTTAACATGCCTACATCTGTATGCTGAGAGGGATGAGTTATCTTCTGGGGCTTAAGAAATGTTCCTAAGGCAGAGAAGGAAATACCATGGATAAGGCTTCTAGTGAGACAGACACAACTGCCTACCACAAATCTACTGAAATCAGTATAAGGAGATAGGGAACGGGGGTGGGCAAGACACAGATTTCTCCTACCTCACGTTAAGCAGCCCTAGCCAATAGTAATAAATACCAGGCACCTGTTGAGCAAACTCTTATTTTCCTCACCAAGGGTGTAGGTGTGATTGCTCCCTGTTCTCCTTGCCTTTCTTTTCTTGCTTTGAAAGAAATGTGGACACTGTGGGTCCACAGTGTTGGACTATGAGGCACCAGGAATGAGATACTACGAGCCAACCAAAAGCGCTGGTCTTGACTCCCACGCTATTGTTTTGAAGGAAAAATAAATATCTTTATTTTAGACCAAGTTGGGTTTTCTTCTACTAGCAACTGAACACAATCCTAACCAGAAACTAGCCTTGCAGTAAGGAATACTGCATTTCAGTTCACTAGCCTTTGGGCAACAAAATCCATTGAGCTGCTAACCAGTCGTTCAGGAATCAACACTTCTCTATGCATAGAAGTGAAATTGAAGGCTTAACCCTGCCAGATTTACCGCCAAACAAAACTCAGTCTCTCTTATTTCCTCTGAAGTATTTAGATATTTGAATCAAGTGGAGTAAATGCTATCCTTGTGCAGAGCCAATTTTAAATGCATAGGCTTTTTGAGACAAAAGAAGGAAGAATATAAGAATAAATTCGCAATATATAAACACTGGTCAATATAATGTTATAAAATGTATCGATACAAAAGTATTTATATTTGTCATGCTAGAGACAATATGCCCCTAAATTTAGGTTACCTTTAGACTTATTTTACAGAAATCTTTGTACTTTAGTGATTATACTGACAAAGATTTACTTATGCCTAAACACCGCAGGTCTTATAAAAAGATGCTCAACCTAATTTGTGACAAGAAAAAACAAGTATTGGTTAACAAAAAAATTACAAGAAAAATAAATGCCCTCTGTAGAAACAGCAGTAAATGGGGTTTTTTTTTTCCTAATTATCTTCTCTAAAGAGCTTGAATGTCCCTCATTCGAATATCACAAGTGATTACCACTTTCTGCAGTTCCATCTAAGCCCCAAGAGCCTCGGATTCTGGGGGGTGGAGGGTCATGGATCCCTCAGGCCCCAGCTGTAAACTCCCTGATGAGGCAACCAGGAGAGACCTTGGAGAGCAACCAGGCTTCCTCCGGAAGAGGATCTGGAGCCCGCGTGGGTGTCGGGAAAACAGAGACTATCCGGTTTCCCGCATCAGCGGTGCCTCCTGGCAGAGAGCGCAGGAGGCAGCAGCGCAGCAGGTAAGAGAGAATCCGGAGCGCTTCCCCCAGCAGGGAACACTCAGCAATGGCTGGAAATGCAGTGAGGGAAAAGGGTGGCCAGGAAAGAAAGCGAAGGAACGAGTTAAGGGATGACTCAGCCGTCTGCTCAATCTATCCTAAGTGCCTTCGTGTAATATTTGCATGTGTTATTCTTGCTTTCTTGATAACCATTTTGCACTCTGCGCTGCTGAAGTCACTTACTAGCTCTGCGTGATGTGGACAGATTCCTTGGCTCTTCACTAGGGACCATCGCATGTGCGATTACTGTTGCTTTTTTGCCTTTCTGAAGCACTCTTTTCTTCCATTGTTCTGCTGACTGTGTCTACCAGAACAATGACAAATAGTGGAGATAAGGAGATATTTGCCCTCTTCCTGAATGTAGGACACAAGCATTCATTCCATCTTTAGCCATCAAAGATAATTTTTGTGGATGTACTTCCTCAACCTGAGGAGTTATCTTCTATGCCTAGTTTTCTGAGCTTTTTCTTAAGCTGGTATTTAATTTAATTAAATACTCTCTTCCATAAACATATAATCCTAAGATTTTTTTCTGCGTATTTTAAATATGGTACCTTACATTCACTAATGTTCGTGTCCTTAACAAGTTGTTCCCCGACGGTGAACCCTTCCTGGCAATGCTGAGTGATTGATGTGTATATCTGAAAGGTTCACTCAACCATCTTGTGAAAGATCTAACTTGTACAACCAAGCGTCATACTGGGCAGTAGGTTTTCTTTTCCACACTGTCCGCCTCTAGCTTTGTCATGAGTAGTACTCGATTCATACACTAAGTGGAGAAGTGCTTTTTGCAAATAGTGCTTAAGGCTGGGGATTTAGCTCAGTGGATCTACTGCCTGCCTCACAAGCACCAAGGTCCTGAGTTCCATCCCTGGTACAAAATAGAGCTTAATTCATCCTTAAATTTTTGTGATTTTTCCAATAATTTTTGAGTTTTAAATTCATGAATGCAATTTACTTCTTGCCTATTCAAATAATTTCAGTATCGGGTTATTTGAAAATTTTTTTTAACTTTTCAAAGAATGCTCAAAAGCATTCAAGTCATCAAAATTATATGTACATTGCTCGCAGAATTCCACTACCAGTCTTTTGGTGTTGGCTGAAGCCATCTGTTTATCCCTGGTTTAATAATTTGTACTTTTCACTGTTGGGCATGCTAGAACTTTGTGAATTTTATTGGTAAACCAGCTAACTGGTTAACCAGCTAATTGTTTCATTGGTCTTTTTCTACGTTTTTCCTCTGCTGGATTTCATTAATTTCTACTGCTCCCTTTACTCTTGCATTTCTTCTGCTTGATTTAGGTATACTTTATTCCTTTTTGTAGTTTTGGGGGGAGGCTTAGTAAATGGATGGGAGACTTTTGTCCAACAGAAGCATTTGGTCCTCTGCCCTGCTCCGTCCATGCTGCAGGGGAATCGCAACAGTTTCGGTAGTTTGCATTCCCTTCGTGCTCAGTTTACGTGTTCTTTTATTTCACTTGGGTCTTCCTTACTGGTCCAAGGATTATTCAGAAATGAGTTGTTTCTTTCTGGCAGTTTGCAGAGTTTCCGTCTTCTTCCTGTTACTGATGTCTGGCTGGTTTTGTGGTGTTCATGGGCCAGGCAGTGTACGACGTGAATTATTCTCTTATGCTAAGTTGGTGCTAACTCTTTGTGCTGTGGGATATGTTCTACCTGAAGCTATGTTTGTCTGTGCCCGTTTAGAGTCAGTGTTTTCTGAGTGTCACGTAGATCCCATTAGTTGATAGTGTTAATATTTATATCTTTATGTTCTGTCTTGATATTCTATTGATAGTTAAGAAAAGAATACAGAAATCATGAATTGCCTTTAACTCCTTCATTTTCAACAGTTTTTTGCTTTATATTTATTACCATTCTCTATTCTGAATTGTTATACAGAAAAATAAGACATCTCTGGAAAATAAGCCCTATGGCATCCTTTAGAGCAAAAATCAATATAAGATCCGGTCTTATTTTGGCGTTAATACAGTAGTTGCCTCTATTGCATCACTGAAATATCATAAGTCCAGGTACATAGTGTGGCACTGGGGGAGGGGGAAAGAGGGCTATGAACATATTAAATAAATTTTCAGCTTTTCAGTAGTTACTGAACCATATATATTCAACATAAGTCATAATAAGTCTGTTTGAATTTTGGAAAATAATATGAATTTATTTGTCACTTGAATTTTAATCAAGATTCTACAATATTTCTTATAAAATCAGAATTGGCAAATTCAAGTTACTGCCCTATAAAACCCGTAAGTTCCACATTGGTATTTATCTGTATATTTTATCTGCCAAAAGCATTACAAAGTTTCACAATATTGCAGAATTTTTCACACTATAAAATTTAAAATCTTTTAAGTTACATACATTAAAAATAGGAAATTTTTATTTGAAAAATAATAGTCCTCTTGTGTGGTTTTTTGTTTGTTTTGTTTTGTTTTTGGAAAGACAAAGTCAAAGTCAAAAGCAATGATGTGAGGGCTGGGGAATTAGCTCAGTGGTATTGCCACCTACCTCGCAAGCACAAGGTCCTAAATTCAATCTCCCGGACCAAAATAAAAACAGAACAAAACAGTGATGTGAAATGTAAGAACTTATTTATTACAGGAGGCCCAAAAGATTTCCCTTCTCTTTTAGTTCTTGTCTCCATCCTGTCCAGATGTTTGCTAGCCATGACACAAGAAAATGGCACCAAGGTGACTGAATTCTATCTTCTGGGATTTGGTGGACAACAAGAGTCCCAGGCTGTCCTCTTCCTTGCTCCATTCTCTATTCTGAATTGTTATACAGAAAAATAAGACATCTCTGGAAAATAAGCCCTATGGCATCCTTTAGAGCAAAAATCAATATAAGATCCGGTCTTATTTTGGCGTTAATACAGTAGTTGCCTCTATTGCATCACTGAAATATCATAAGTCCAGGTACATAGTGTGGCACTGGGGGAGGGGGAAAGAGGGCTATGAACATATTAAATAAATTTTCAGCTTTTCAGTAGTTACTGAACCATATATATTCAACATAAGTCATAATAAGTCTGTTTGAATTTTGGAAAATAATATGAATTTATTTGTCACTTGAATTTTAATCAAGATTCTACAATATTTCTTATAAAATCAGAATTGGCAAATTCAAGTTACTGCCCTATAAAACCCGTAAGTTCCACATTGGTATTTATCTGTATATTTTATCTGCCAAAAGCATTACAAAGTTTCACAATATTGCAGAATTTTTCACACTATAAAATTTAAAATCTTTTAAGTTACATACATTAAAAATAGGAAATTTTTATTTGAAAAATAATAGTCCTCTTGTGTGGTTTTTTGTTTGTTTTGTTTTGTTTTTGGAAAGACAAAGTCAAAGTCAAAAGCAATGATGTGAGGGCTGGGGAATTAGCTCAGTGGTATTGCCACCTACCTCGCAAGCACAAGGTCCTAAATTCAATCTCCCGGACCAAAATAAAAACAGAACAAAACAGTGATGTGAAATGTAAGAACTTATTTATTACAGGAGGCCCAAAAGATTTCCCTTCTCTTTTAGTTCTTGTCTCCATCCTGTCCAGATGTTTGCTAGCCATGACACAAGAAAATGGCACCAAGGTGACTGAATTCTATCTTCTGGGATTTGGTGGACAACAAGAGTCCCAGGCTGTCCTCTTCCTTGCATTTCTTATCGTCTACATGACATCCATGGCGGGTAATACAGGGATGATCCTGCTCATCAACACAGATCCCAGACTGCAAACACCCATGTACTTCTTCTTACAACATCTGGCTTTCGTTGACATCTGCTACACATCTGCCATCACTCCGAAGATGCTCCAGAACTTCATGGTGGAAAACAAATCCATATCATTTGGGGGATGCCTGCTGCAGTTACTGGTGTACGCAACATTTGCAACCACTGACTGCTACCTCCTGGCAGCAATGGCCGTGGACCGTTACGTAGCCATCTGTAAGCCACTTCACTACCCCGTAATCATGTCCCAAACACTCTGCATTCAACTGGTAACTGGCTCATATCTCATGGGAACAATAAACGCCTCTGTACACACAGGATTTGCATTTTCCTTGTCCTTCTGCAAGTCCAACATCATTAATCACTTTTTCTGTGATCTTCCTCCTATACTCTCGCTTTCCTGTTCAAATATTGACATCAACATTAAGCTACTTTTTGTCTTTGTGGGATTTAACTTGACTTTCACTGTGTTGGTCGTGATCGTCTCCTACATCTACATCACGGCTGCCATCTTAAAGATGTCCTCCGCTGCGGGGAGGAAGAAGACATTTTCCACCTGTGCCTCCCACCTGACGGCTGTCACCATTTTCTATGGGACCCTCTCCTACATGTACTTACTGCCTCCTTCTGAGCATTCCCAGGAGAACATGAAAGCGGCCTCCGTATTCTATGGCATTATCATTCCCATGTTGAACCCTCTGATCTACAGCTTGAGAAACAAGGAGGTCAAAGAAGCTGTGAAAACAATAGTAAAAAAGTTATTTTGATTACATCAAAATTGTGAAAATTTGGCATCAAGCATTCAGTAGAGAACACAATATAATGATTGTAAAATTAGCAGTATTCAGCTTGTAAATTAGGTCCCCCAAATCAGTGGCTAAACAGTTGGCATATGAACCATACTCTAAGACCTCTCCAGAGACTCATTTTCCCTGGAATATAATTTGAAAAATATATATAGCATTCTCTGTGGAGAGGATTATATGGCCATTATGAAAATATTAAGAAGCATGTAAAATCATTGCACAAAAATAGCCTAAAATAAATTAATGACTTTAAAAAGCATCCTGTGCCTCAAAATCTCTACACAAGAGGGTCAAAAATCTGAGACCAGTTAGTCTAAAAGAAGGGTGGTCATGAGGGCCACTGACATTCTAGATAGTGTCTGAAATGACATCAGTTCTGTGGGAATTGTTCTGTCATACTGAATAGTTTTGAATGTAGTCATCCCAATGCAGAGAATTCTCACAAGAATGAGATATAGATGGGGAAAATTTAGGAATTACTGAATTAATTATGTGGTTTACACTTTGTGAAATTGAACTCAATCTTACTGGGGATCATAGGGAACTTGCAGGCTCAAGTTCTTCCTCTGTAGGATTCTTCCTCTGTAGGACAAGTGGATAAGACTTCTGTTCAACTCCGCTTCTCCTTCAGCTAAGTTTCCCAGTGTGGTTCACACCCCTCCACATATGCTGATCTAATGAGTAATCTGCTATGGAATTTAAGAAATAATCCTGAGCCAAGAAGCAGAGAAAAAAATAAAAATAAATACACAGAGAGATACTGCTATAATTTAGATCAAGAATGTCCCCTCAAGATGGAGGAAGAGGACTCATAATTGGAGGTGTTACTAGAGGGGTTTATTTCTCCACCTCCTTCCTTCCCTCTGTCCTTCCTGGCCCCCTGACATGAGCGGCCTTCCTCTGCCCAGTCCCTTCCACCATGCTGTGTGTGTGTTTGAGCCAGTTGACCATGCACTGAAACTTCTAAAACTGTGAGCACAATAAACCTCTTCTCCTTTAAGGTTTGTCAGGTATTTTGTCCCAGCAAAGAGAAAATGACTAAGACAGATGCCACATATGATGGGCCAGTTTGGGAGGGACAAACTCTGTCACAGATGCGCTAAGATCCAGGAACTGAGCAGCTATGGTACAAGACAGAGATTTCTCCTACTGTGTGCTAGAATCCAGCCAACATTTGAGTAAAAGACTTCTGGGGCTTGGGCGGAAGTCTCTGCCTATGCCAACAAAAATATAGATTTGTAGAAAAATCTTTCCTTTCCTAATAAAGATGTATGTATGGTTGTTCCCCTGCCTTCCTGGACCTTCCTTTCCTATTTTGAAATAAAATGTGATTTCTAGAGAAAGAGTAGACATATTGGGCTATTGCAGAATCAGCATATATGAAAGACTAAACCAATCACAAATGCTGCCTTTGACTCACAGTGTATTTTCTTTCATTAAGTTTATTGATACATTTTAGGCATACAGTACAATTACATTTATCATTAGGATCTTGTACCTTTACATGGCAGATCTTGGTTCTCATTTTTCCCCATACCCCTGCCCTCCCTTCACCCCCTCCACCTTGCCCTATTTACAAAGACTTTGTTTCCATTTTTTCCTTCTCTCATATTTTTTCTTTTCCCTTCTTTCCTTTCCATGCCCCTTCCCACCTCCCCTACTCCTTTAGCCCTTTTCTTCCTATTTCACATTACAGTTGTACAATTTGAACCTTATTTACATTTTTAGTTTTTCACACCAAAGAAACTATTTGGTATTTACACACATGTGTTTTATTTATTTCACTTAAGAGTATGGCCTTGATATGCATCCATTTAGCTATAAATGACCCTAGTTTCTTATTCTTTATGGTTGAGTAGTACTCCGTTTTATAGGAAAAAACACATCGTCTTTATCCAGACTCCGATTGATGGGCAATTGGGCTGTTTCCAAGTTTAGCTATTACAAACTATGCTGCTATAAACGTGGGTGAGCATATATCACTGTAGTATGATTCTTTTAATTTTTGGGGGAAGATGCCCAGCAGAGGGATGGCTGGGTCAAATGGAACCTCTAATCCTAGTTCTTTGAGGTATCTCCATATTTATTTTCATAGTGGTTGCACCAGTCTACACTCCCACCAACAGTGGAGAAGGGTTCCTTTCTCCCCAAAACCCTGCCATCATTTGTTATTGGCTGATTTCTTAATAGCAGCCATTCTTTCTAAGGGTGAGGTGGAATCTCATCTGTATCTCTCATATGACCAGTGATGTTGAACATTTGTTCATATATTTATTTGCTGCTTTTACTTGTTTGTCTAAGAAGTATCTGTTCATTTCAGATGCCCATTTTTTAATCGGGTCTTTATATTTGAGGGCCTGGTTTTTTTGAGTCCTTTATGTATTCTAGATACATAAAGAAACAGCTGGTAAAATTTTTTCACACATTGTAGGGTATCTTTTAGCTCTGTTGGTGGTTTCTCTTGCAGTGCAGAACCTTTTTAATAAGATGAGATCCAGTTGTTGATTCTTTGTGCTAGTTCCTAACTCACAGTGTATTGTTGTCGTAGGGAAATAACCCCCTGTGTTTCAGCCAGAGGAAGTTGGGTTTTCTTCTACTGACAGGTGATCACATTCCTAACCCAGATATTATTCTTGCCATAGAGAATGTAGCATCAGTTCACAAGTCATCGACAAGAGATCTCCTTTATATATTTGCCAGTTAATAAAAACACTAAGACATTAATTTAGCTTTCTTCTTTCAGTCTGATCTACTTACAGGTTTAATCATAACAGCTTTATAAACAAACACAATTTAAAATTTCTTTCTCCACAGATTTTTAAAGTGTAGCAGGGACAAATTGTGTTTTTTTATTAAACTGATTTTAAAATACTATATTAAAATTTCTAGGAAAAAAGAAAGAAGGAATCAAAAGTATTTTATAATAAATAAACCATGAACAATGAGATGTTTTATGTTCAAAAACTTACCTCTAAGATCACACCAAGGGCCATGTGCCCCTTAAATTTAAGTCAGATGTACATATCTTTCACAAAATCTGTGGTTCTACAATTATGATATGAGGTTATTATATCCAGACATAAATACAAGTTCTTAGACAAATGAAAAGATGCTTAGCCTGATTTATAACCAAAAAAATAATCGTTAAATGACGAGAGCCATAACCCAAAAACAGTATAAAGTAAAAAATGCCCTAGTCACAATCATAAATGCTACTGTAGTCTCTAAAAAGCTTAATTTGTTCAGTAAAATAATAATAGCAGATATTGAGTTCCCCCTTTCAGCTCCTCCCTTGAAGCCTCCAGAGCTCAGATTCCCAAGGCAGTGAGCACGGATCCCTGGGGCCCAGCTGCGAGCCCCTGGTGGGGAGGAGCAGCCCAGGGCACAGGGAGACCTCGGTGGGAATCAGACGCACCAGCTGCACACCTGGGACCTGCAGACGCCCGGGAGGAGGACGGCAAAGCCAGGGACGCTCTCAGAGGGGCCGGATCCTCAAGTCTTGCTCAGGTAATGGGGGACACAGGGTCAGAGCCAAAGGCACAGAGCTCTCGCCCCGAGGGCGGGCGTCACTTCCCCCCTCCCAGTGACTGTGAGGACACAGTGAGGGAGCTGGACTGGGCTGAGGCTGCCTAGGAAGGATGCGAAGGAGCAGAAGACAGAGGAAGAACGGGAGACGCCCTTCGTGGGACGTTTGCTCACGCGGCCTGCGTGAGAACTGTACATAGATCAGTGCTGTTGAGCTTTACAGCGCCACAGGGCAGACTTTAATTATTTCTCTTCCTTTTTAGTACAATTAAGGCTATCTTATGTTATTTTTATTTTAGAAAAGACAAGAGTTTATTCAAATCAGGGTACTGCCAAGGGAGGGCAGCAGATGAGTTCCAGGTGGAGCCACAGGAAGAAAGGACCTGGGCAGCACATGTGCTTTCCTGGATCGTGTAGCACCTTGTAGATCTTCCAGGAATAGCTGCATGGAGGCAAATACTGTCTTTAGTCGAAGTTTTGACAAGACCACTGCCTCGGGCCTTTAGCTTTAGATAAGAAATTGGTAGATAATTGACAGATAAGGAGGTAGCACCTATCTTTTAGATAAGATGGGTCTGGACCCTTCGGGAGGAATGTGTGGGCCTCCCATCAGAAGATCTGCTGCTGCTTAGGACTGGGGCTGAGTGTGGGATGTCTGTGACCAGAGTTCTCCTAAGAATTTTAACCCATTTGCTCCCAGTGGGCAGCCTGACAGGGTAGAGGAGTCAAACCCTACAGTCACACCCGTGACCGCAAGATGAGTGGGGCTGTCACGAGGGCCCCTGAGTTTGCTGACTGTCAGTGATGGGTGACCTGTTTCCTTAGGCTGATGACTGAGGTCTAATTGGGCAACCAGCCCTAACTAGTACTGTGCAGCCCACTGGGCAGGAACCATTAAAAACTGCTGAATTCTATTGTTGCAAATCTTTGCTGGCAGAAAAAACATCTTCTGAGTTCCCTGAAAAACATGTGCAACATTTTGCTTTAATAATAGCCCAACTAGGAGTTATAGAAATCTGGAAGATATAAATTTTATACGTATGTTAAATAAAAATGGACTAAAAATTAAAAGTAGAATAATGTTGAATTATCTTGAACATTAAACTCTTTTTTGTCTTGAGGTTTTTACCCAAATATGGTGGGGTGAATGTAAGAGCATATAGACATCTCCCCATTTCGTGACTAAGAAATCTAATTTTATTATACAATGATATCCAAAGGCTACACTAAATAAAAATCTATGTTTCTGTGATCATCCAGCCATTAACATTGTTTTTATAGGGTCTAGAACCCAGGAATTGACTTCTACTTTATAGATCCAAAACTTCTAATAACTGTCTATAAGCAATGTACATATATAACCCCTGAAGCAAATAACAGAAAGTTTATTTACATTACAAAAGTTATTATATTTTAATAGCTAGAATATTTGTATTGGCGCTTTTGGGCTGCAGACGAGAAGCCAACATTTTACTTGAGGGACACTTCAGTATACCTCAGAAGAACATACCAACGATCTGCAGTACTAAGTCATTTATTCAGAGAAGAGGAGTAGGAGTTCAGTTTTCTTGTGGCTGAAGGCGAAGGCATTACAGGTGTGGCTGGAGACTGTTAACTGCTGGCGTCGTGTTTGAAACCCCTTTGTGTCTCTAGTTCAGCTCGGTTCATGTCATTATTAATTACTCTACTATCTTAGTTATAGAACTTACCTGCTAGATGATTAAGACCAAGTCACAGTAAGATCTGTGTTCACTGAAATCAAATTCC